CAGGAAGACATTGACAACGGGGTTCAAGTGATGTACGTGAAACATGGTCCGAATGACGAGGTTGGTCACGCGTATTACATGGAGAGCAACGGTCAGTTCAGTGAAGCACCGTCAGCAGGCTACGACTGCGCGTTTGCTGCCTTCAGTAAAATTCTAGAAAGTAACGGGATCAGCAAATGTGTCGGTGATCTCCGAGTTGAAGCAGCTGACCGTATAGAATCGAATTCGGCAAGCTTTTTGAAAGTGCATTCTGCTGAAAATTGGATTAGAAAGACGAATCCTGATTCGGCCAACAAACTATTATTCACTGCAGGATTGAAAAGAGATGGTGATGTATTAAGAGTAGAACCTGGTGATGCCGTTGCCCTTGTCAAAGCAATAAAAGGAAGCTTGAGTGATCGTGGTCGAATGTTTGCCAAAATATTTAGGGTAAACATTTCTCAAATTTCGATTTTCAAATGTCTGAGTTGAATCATAATTACTCTTCACTTTTTCAGGATGAGATTCCTCGTGATGATCCTAGCTCACCAACAGAGGAAACCCTTCATCATATAATTCCAAATAACAAACTTGAAGAGGCTGTTCTGGTTCACGACACAATACGGGATGGTGACACTGATGCCGTAGCAGAAACGAGGCTAGAACCACTTCGAGCAAATTTGGAAAATTTCGTAAACCAGGAACGCATGAGAACCATCATCGAGGGTCAACTTGATGCCCAAGGTCAACTGAAGCAACAAAAGCTCGTCGGTACTTTTCTGCACGCTGCAATTTCGTGGAATCCCAATAATTTAGTCAGAGGTCCTCTTCCTGAATTCCGAGCCAATGATCCTAAGAGTGATATCGACAAGGAAATAGGGAACCTGCAGACACAAGAGCATCAGGACGCTGTCAAGCAGTTTGACACAGCGCCATCAACAGAGAAGCTCGACAGGCTCGCAAAATTTCCAGCTACTATACCTGTCGACTGGCACAAACCCCCTGGACAGCAGAAATACGTTGCTACTCAGGTAACGTGGGAACGTATTCAATTATTAACTCGTCAGTCAAGAAGCATGGAACTGACCTTGCAGTTGCAGCCTTAGAAAGGCTTTAACGTATTATTTGATTAATTTTTTGTTTTGTTTATGTCCTGTCAGGCAATTTCGAATCCTCAATCAGATTATTGAAAAAACTATTTAGAAAAGTTTTAATTAATGGATAATCGCAAAGAAACTGGTCACCTATTGAAATGTAAATTAGTTGCCAGAAAAATGTTAAATTTTCTTGCTACAAACTCAGGAATTTTCGGTGTTTTTTGCTATTTGAGGGCTTACGGTCACGATTCGGTCAAATTTAAGCCCATGCCGGTCAATTTTTTCACTGTTCTTTTCACGGCCACTGCAGGTTCATGACAGGCAACGAAGACCGCATTCGGTCTCAGTTGGCAACCATGAAATTTCATTGCCTCCATATGATTTGTCAACAAATCACCGCCATGTTACCCCATCCTTCTGTGTGTGTCTGCAACTTTTTTTACAGGCACCACCTGCGAGGGATGGCAACCCAAAACTTCATTAAGACCTGTTTTGAACAGGGCACCTACACAGTGCTGCTAGTGCCGCGTGTTCTCACAGCAGAGGGCGCACAGCGCTCTGGTGTCTATGTGCACAAGGATGGACTGCATCTAGATGAAATCAAATGGTTTGAGGACATGGACTGGGGAAGAGACAGAGTTCTGATGCCGACTCTGAAAACATCTAGTTACGGTGATTACGTACTCCACGTTGGACTGATCGACACTAAGTATTTCGAGTCCAGGGAACAACTAGATTCCCTGTATTCCAAGGACTGGCAGGACGCTGAGCCGTGCTATCCAGACGCCACAGTTACAACCGTCGAGCAAGTTTCGTTTCGGGAAGCACTGAAACTAATGACCGTCGACATTTGGTGCGACATGGATTATTTTTTGGCCAATCGGGACGAGATGGAAAAGGATTTAGGTCGCAAGTTGCCTAATCTGGATTTGGACGATAAGGATTTGTTGAAGCAGTTGGAAGACGAACTATTTTATAAACAATCTGTGAAGATTTTCGGTCGAGAAGAAGGCGATGATGAAAAGTCTGCAGTGACCTTCACAGACTTCCGTCATTTGTTTTTTGATGGGAACGAAAGGTTTGGGACTGCCAGGCATGGGAAACACTACGTGGTTTTCTTTCACGTCACGGGCTGACGTTTTGAAACCCAAGTGATGTGTTACTTGTGAGACCATCCCAATAAATTTGGCATGTTTAACATTTTTAACAAATTAAAGACGACAGTGTGTGACATAGCATTTTTTTCCTTGTGACTTAACACCGAAGAAAATTTTTGACTAGAAGGGTCGCCTTTATTTGGTATTTTTGTTCAGGGATCTGTGGAACTGCGGACACTGACTGGGTCTGGGATTTGCCTGGAAATTTCAGAAGCACAAGGTTTTCCGGTTTAAAATCGATCAGACAAAACAAATAATGTAAAAATTATATTTCGCTTCCAATGAAAAAATCTGAAAATCCGGACAAACAATATTACTAATTTCTAGCTTATTGATCGCCATTCTCCTTTTAGCAATTGTCGTGCACCCCACCTAGCGTCGTGACAGCGACAGTNACCCGCCAAAAAATTGCTTAAATAGCTAGCGGATCAAAACCCATAAGATGGGCATACCAATGAACAACAAACTCTGCGATGATATAAGAGTTAAGAAGACGGTTTACTCGAATAAGAAACCGATGGAAGCTGGAACGACAAGTCTATCAAATAAATCCCTGTTACACCAACTATTTGCACACACCCTGGTGTCGTACCCGCGAGGGCACGACACCAACTTTAGCTTTGCCAACTTGTAACCAGTTTCATCGTGGTTATGTGAACCCCCTGCAGTACAACCCCGAATCCTTTTTTAGGAGCGGGGGGTTGCGGGGATGTCTACCGGCGAATACAGAACGACAGTGATTGCTGAAGTGATGATTACGTTAGGAGAGACAAACTGGGACTATAGATGTTGTTGGCAACCTTCAACGCCTGCAGTTTTTCGTCGCACTCGGAACCAGCGGGCCAGAACCGCCCGAGTGGGCCAGAACCGCTCTGGCCAGATCGGCTCCTGCAGCGTTCCTGTTCCTACCTCCACAAAAAGCCTATCCATAATATGTTTTCTGTGGGGCACGCCATTTGATCTATCTATTATGAAACGAACAGCAGATGGCTGCCTCCTGCTGATTTCAACAGTAAACTTAGTTTTTTTTTCTTTCCATTTTTTTAAATGGATTTTAACGAAAATATGTGATCTAATATGTTTGTAGACTTTTGATTAACTATTATTTAATCAACTGATTTATTTGGGTCGGCATTTTACTGTGAAACTGCAATTTGGCAGCCTGGCAACCTTGCTTCGAGTCCTCCGGTGAGATAATTTTAGCTGCTTCACTTGATTTTGGACTTAAGCGGTCACAGATGGTTCAAATGAACGGGAGTTGTTGATAAATATTATGCAGATATTGAGTAAGTGTACCAGTAGGGAAACCGGTTGACTCTTGATCTCTAACATAAAAAAAACCAACTGGGAAGTGTACTGGTTTCACTACTGGTGCCGTTCAGTCTTGTGAATTCTTACCCTCACTCAACACTGCGATTCACTAATTCATTCCAGACTTGAGAACCAAAAACTTTTCATTCGGTCACACAGATCCTCAGTGGCGGTCATTGCCGGTCATTTGCATTTTTTGTAGATAAATTCAAATAACACCGATAGTTGAATATGAAATTTTGAAGTGAGATGGCTAAAAAAAACTATTTACAAAAGTTTTAATTAATGGATAATCGCAAAGAAACTGGTCACCTATCGAAATGTAAATGAGCTGCCAGAAAAATGTTAAATTTTCTTGCTACAAACTCAGGAATTTTCGGTGTTTTTTGTTATTTGAGGGCTTACGGTCACGATTCGGTCAAATTTAAGCCCATGCCGGTCAATTTTTTCACTGTTCTTTTCACGGCCACTGCAGGTTCATGACAGGCAACGAAGACCGCATTCGGTCTCAGTTGGCAACCATGAAATTTCATTGCCTCCATATGATTTGTCAACAAATCACCGCCATGTTACCCCATCCTTCTGTGTGTGTCTGCAACTTTTTTTACAGGCACCACCTGCGAGGGATGGCAACCCAGAACTTCATTAAGACCTGTTTTGAACAGGGCACCTACACAGTGCTGCTAGTGCCGCGTGTTCTCACAGCAGAGGGCGCACAGCGCTCTGGTGTCTATGTGCACAAGGATGGACTGCATCTAGATGAAATCAAATGGTTTGAGGACATGGACTGGGGAAGAGACAGAGTTCTGATGCCGACTCTGAAA